GTAGGCGGAGGATTTTTTGTGAGGCCTAATCGAGCATATCTTTGTAAAAATCTCTTTATTTTCCCTACACTTTCTTTTCCTTTTCTTTTGCATGCATTTCCTCTTTCTTTTTACTTTAAACCTTAGACATAGACTTTGACCACACCCATTATATTAGAATAACAAGAGTGGATACCGTAGAGTACTACAGGCGTGTAGGGTGCTAATACCTTCCCCTCGTGTAACAGACTCCCTTACCCGATATCTCGGTCATTTGACTTTGATTTCCCCCTTCTCAGGTTTACTCGATGTTTGCCTTTCCCTTTTCGTGGGATAAAAAAATGTTTGATGGGGACTTCATTGATTTCATTATCAGTTGACGGTTCAGCCGGTTGTTTCAACAACATACTATGGTTAATATTAGTATAATCAGACATGCATAAACCTCGCATTCCAGATAATAGCATGTCATCGTGAAACCCCTACTCCATAGGCTATTGTAGTCTCATAATATTCATACCATGGTTGATGCATTTTAAGGCATCACGGTCGTGCAAAAAATAAATCATCGTCAAAAAGTTTTAATACTATAACACATGTATTTCAAGGAATAAATACAAATAAATATTACCCCTCTGTCTCACATGTGCCTAGAAACATGGTCCCCATACAGATGCAACAATTATGTGTCATACGAGCCTCATCCAAATTCTTTAAGAACAACATCATCGACAGCAAGGGCATCAACCTATATTGTGGGACTTCCAGGGCAGCAACAAGTGACACCTGCCTCCAAGAAGATGAAGTCGGAGTCACTTAAACCTCAGAAGTTAACGCTTCCACATCAAATGAACTGACATCGATCGGTGGTCGCGATGGTCAGGCTTTTTCCTACAAACAAATGCATGATGGGAAATTCTACCGAGCCTTAATAGATCTTGGTTATCAACCATGTTACCTATAATTAAACTAAACAAGCTAGACCAAGCAGAGAAAATTAAACCCAAATGAGAGACATTTAAAATCAAACCAAAAAATACAGATAAATAAAACACATAAGTGCACTTTTGTACTCCTGGATAATCAAATAGTAGAACAATACGAAAGTGTGCTTCTTTAGTTTCCAGCTACTCAGAAAAGAAAAAATTGCAGAAATGCATGGTATGAAAAATGGGACAAAATGCAATGGGACAAAACCAAATGCTTAGTATAACAACCCAACAATGAGTGTAACTACCTTTATAGTAATATGAATTACAGAACCTAATGGTCCTATTTCTTAATGCATGTAGATAAAATTAAAAACTTGGATTGAAAAACTTACCAAATGTGCAAAGAAAGTTGAGTAACCTTGGATTGAATGGATGTTAAGAACCACTTAGATTGAATGAAGTAGGAAAAAAACTTTGATTTAATGGAGTAGAAAATTCACTTGAATAAAGAAGCTTGAGAGCGGTTTAAAATGTTTTTACTGGAAATGCGAAAGGGGGATGGTTTATCGTGTATTTGAATAAAACCTCGTTTGAAGGTGTATTTATGTAAGTTGTTACGGAGATACATTTTTGTATTATTTTTTGTCGAAAAATGAGGGTGTGACTCACTTACGAATGAATTTGATGTGGACTAGAGTGCATCTGAAACTACACTTTTGGATTCTAGGGGAATTTTTGGTTTCTCACAATGGTGTGTGAGCACCCCCTAAGGATGGCAAAAATAACCCCTTATATTTTCTAAAGAATCGAACACTCTATATCTCAACTGGGTTAGCCCATATAGTTTGTATATAATTTTATTTTAGGCCTTTTGGCCTCCTTAATAAGGTTTTGTATAATAATCAGTGGGAATTACTTCTCCTACTCTTAGTGGTGAAGAAGAACCCTATGAAAATTCAAAAATGTCGTTCCAATTTCAAAAGTACATCTCTGGGCGCACTCACTTATAACAAATCAATGCATAATGAACAACACCCTCATTTTTATGTAATTTATTCCATATATGTATATCTGAAATGACTTTATACGCTCATCCATTTGTAACTGAACCGTACCCTTATTTTGCCATAATTTAGTCCGGATATGCATCTCTGTAACAAAATATAGATATGCACTTTCGTAATCACCCTTTAGGTAGTAAATTTTGATATTTTTTAGAAATAAACTGATGTAATAGACCATGTATTATAACTATAAGATCATGATAAAAAAATTATCAATCAAACCATACACTTATCTAATAAGATGAAAAATACCATAAATAGTCAAAATAATAGTCAAAATACAGTCAAAATAACAAATTAACAAAAACTAATACTATTCATAATCCCTAATACAAATACTATACTACTGCATATGTCAGACCCTTGCTCCTTCATTGCCTCATATAGTACAATGTCGCACGTGCCTCAGTTAGAATGACATCCAAAATGCTCGTTCTAGATGTCCTTTATGAAAAGTCTTCATAGTCTATACCCGTTTACACAAGATTCATAATATGACTTCATACAAGTAACACTTCAATGACATGGTCTGCCGCAACCTACTCCTCCTTTAATATATCCTGATGAGCTGGACTAGGTGGATCTCCCTCAACATCCAATGTCATATAAGTATGTGGCACTATGAAATACCACAGAACATAGTCAAATGCACATCTATATTCGCTAGGAGCTACAATACCTCGTGCTTCAGTCGATACTAGATGATTAAGGAAATCGTCATACATGGCATCTACATCTCACAAGGCATAGCGGGAAGAGAAGACACAAAGGGGTCTCTTGAAATAACCTACATATACTCGAACTAGCGCATGACTCACTGAGGTTTATGTAAATACATCAAACATGACCCACAAGCCAACCATCCAGAGTAAAAGGCTATGTCATCCAAGGGATGCGTCTGAAGATGATCGTCATATGTCTCAAAGCATATATCATTTATGGCTCTATAGTCAAGATATACTCTAAAGGTCTCGATTGATCGATTCCATCTGAGCGGGATAAATTCATAAGCACATGGCATATCCTTAGTGTAATGATCAAGAAGTTGAAGCCGACGACACCTACCTTCTTCGAGAAAAAGAAGTCGGAGATGCCTGAACCCTACAAGTTGACACCTTCGTATCAAATGAACTTGCACCAACCAGTGGTTGCAAGAGTATGGATCTTTCCATGCAAAATGATGCATGTTGTAACACTCTACCGTGCCTTAGTCATTTTTAATTATTAGGCATGTTACCTACAATTAAACCAGACAAGTCAGACATAGTAGAAAAAATCAAACCCAAATGAAACACATTAAAAATCAAGCCTAACAATGTAGACAGACAGAATACAGAAATGCACTTCTATATTCTTTAAAATCAAATTCTGAAACCATACAAAAGTGTATTTGTGTATTTACTTGCAACTAAAAAAGCACAAATGACAAAAATGTAGGAAAACAAAAAGTGCTCAAAATACATTGCTCAGCTATACTATCTAACAATGACTAAAATTGCATATATATATATATATATATATATATATATATATATATATATATATATATATATATATATATATATATATATATATATATATATATATATATATATATATATATATATATATATATATATATATATATATATATATATATATATATATATATATATATATATATATATATATATATATATATATATATATATATATATATATATATTGATCAGGGGTGGGAATAGGTCAAGTCAACTAACAGGGGTCAATAGTCTGGCCTACATAGGTCAAGACAGGCGACGCTTGGAGCGACACACTCCAGTAGCGTCACACTTCTCTCCCTTCTCTTTGCTCTGTCTCTCGCCTGGCGACTCCCAAGCGATTCCATCATCGCCCGACGAGACATCCTCATCGTCCGACAACGTTGTGCGAAGAGGGTTTTCCTGTTGCGATTTCCTGCATAAACCAGTCCCAATTTCTTGTGATTTCACCATATTACAAGTCTCCAAACATCAGTATTTCACATAGTTTCATCATATAACAACAACCCAAAATATCATGCATCATATACATCTATTCTTTATAATTACACACCACAATTTCACCAATTCATCATCAAATACCACATAATCATCATCATCCAAAACCTAACACAAACCTGTAATTATCTAAAACCTTAGATCAATTATAGTAACATGATAAACACCCCTTACCTTAGATTATAGCAGCAAACTTAATTCCTCTTAGTGTTCTATCACAAAAATGCTTCTACCTCTCTGTGTCATAGTTTTGTCTCTTCCCAACGTTCTTCTAAATAGTTTTGCCTCTCCATAGTGAATCCAATTAAACAAATATTTAATATATTAGTATATACAACAATTTTAAAAATATATGGTTTTATTTTTTAGTCAACATATTCAACTTTAAAAATATACTAAAAATACTCAGGTAACAGCTACTTGTTTATAATGCAAAATTGCCAACAAAAGTGAGTAACAAATTGCAATCATCCTAGTTAGCAACATGTGTTAGTTCTGACTCCTCACAATCAACAATTTTTTATATCAAAACAGAATAAACAAATCATAAACTACTTCTATATCTTAAAAAAACAATCAAACACACACTTCATGTAAAAACAGAGTCAATATAAGATAAAAATATAAATTTATATTCCTTTCTAGAAGATAGTTTAATAGTACATCATTACATCCATGTTCAGAAATTCATATCTAAAACATCTATTTAGATATAATACCAAAACAACCAAATGAAACATCTAAAACAGAGAATTTCACTTTAATTTTTTTTTCACAAAAAAAAATTCTCCTAGTTGATTCATAATCATAATGATTATTCTTCTTTTCTCTAATTGCTGGAATTGAAAGCATTTTGACTTGAACTTGTTCCAAGGCTAAGATCAAGCATGTTGTTTGAACCATTGTTCTTTGAGTTACCTCCACCACCATTTGAAAGTTTCTGTTTGAGTTGAGACAAAAGTTCTTGATTCTCTTGATTCAGAAGTTGAGCTTTCTTCCTTAGCCTTTCATTCTCTTTCATTATGTGACAGTTTTGGTAGTACAATTCTGTGTTCAATCTTTCCATCGCTATGAAAAATCTCACAACTGAAAGAAAAAAAAACATCAATATAAGAAAAAACACATAAGGCTCAAAAAGAACATTAAAAATGGTTACTTTAGGTTGTCTCTAGATTGAAGGAAAGGATAAAGTTGAAACATTAAAAGAGACAAACATCATAGGAATAGGAAGATCTTTTGTTTGTCTAATGTAACAAGATTTGTTCTTGTTCCCACACATTTTATAAAACCTAGTATTTAAAACATAGTATAAAAAAAGTATGTTACCTTGGAGAAGTTAAGGAAATGTGGAGAAGAAAATGTGTGAGAGAATGAATGAAAATGAAGGAATGAGGAAGTGAATTTATAGAAGAAAAAATTGAAGAAAATAAGGAAAAAAGAAAGGTTTTTTTTTCTTGTTCTGAATCTGACACAAGTATCATGCATGTGTAAGCATGGAAGACGGCTTGTTATAAGAACCTAAAAGATTTTCATGTTTGGGGTTTCATTATGATCATGATTATGGTTATGGCGTCATGTGAATCATTGTTTTCATTTTTGTTTCACCCTTTTCTTGTGTTGTGTTGTATGGAAGGGTAGAATTGGAATAAAATTAAAAATTAAATTTTGGTCACAGAAGAGGGACAATAATGGGTCTTACTTATAGGTTTTGTAAAAAATGATTGTGGGCTAGGCCATCCCAAGATTTGCAATCATGATTTGGATTGGGTCTTAAAACCTCTCTTCTCTTCCCATCAATTACATTTTCTTTTTTCTTTTTATTTTTTTATATAAATTAAATATCATTTTTCGAGTCAAAAAATATTATAATATACAATAAAAAATATTATTGTAATTTTTTAAATACAAATCGAGTATTCTCTATGTATAATTACAAAGATAATTCTTTAAATAGATGACAAAACTCTTTTCTAAAAATATTTAATACTACTCCATTTGTTTTAAAATAATTTTTTTTAAATACATAAATTAAAAAATACAATGATGTTATCATAAAATATTATATATTTACAAAATTAATTTTATCAATTTTTTGAAAATAAAATATAAATAAAAAATATATGACACAATTGAAAAAATAATAATAATTACTATATTAAAAAGAGAAAATAAATTATTTTAAAATAAAATTTATTTATTAAAACGACCGTCATTTTAAAACGTAGTAAAATATTATATAATCAAAGATGAGTTTGAATTCTAATTAGTGAAAGATTTTAAGTTACCACTAATTTATTAAAATTAATTTTATAAAATCTGTGAAAATGATTTTTTTAAATATTAAAGAATAAAATAAATATTTAAACCAAAGAAAAATTATTATTCTTAAGAATTTATTTAAATAATACAGGTGTTGCAATCATATTGGTGCGAAATTAACTTCAATTTAATTTTTAACAGAAGAATAGTGACTATGATATTACAGTATCGACAATTATTAATATTGTTTTGTTAGCACCGCTTTTCCAATCTGATATTTTTGAGTATTGGAAGATATCTATGTCATCTCATTTAAATTTATATTCATATTTTTGTTTTTATTTATTACTAATATTAATTTTCTTGTATTTTTGGTTTTTTGCTTTATTATTTATATTACTTATCTTCTATTTTTAGTTATTCATGATTCTAACTTTCATTTTGCAATATTCATGTGTTGGGCAGTGTTGGCAATAATCATTCTCATTGCCGTAAAAACTATTATTCCTTTTGTTGAAAAAACGCGGTTTTCATTTTGGTTAATACCAAAATTTGAGTAATATATAATATATTTAAAAAATATAGAATGTGAAATCATTAAAAGGTACTACAAAAAGGGTGTGTAATGAAATGTAATTATAAAAAAGCAAGGTTCTTTAAGTTGAAGTTCCTTCTGAGAATCTATTTTTACTTTTAGTGGAATTTCAATCAAATCGGTTATATAAATCACACATCTTTTCTTACCATAAATTGTGTGAGATAATGAGCATTTTGAAACCATTGATGGTATTTTGTTTTACGTTATTATAATGAATCATAGTAATTATAGGCAAAGGTAGTATCATCATAGTTATTATAGCTTTTACTCCTTTCGTTTTTTTTAATGCTTATTTTTTGACTTTTTACATTAAGGAAACTTATAATTGTTATAATTTTCTTTTACTTATAATATTTCTAATTTTTAATTATTTTTGATATATTTTCTTTCTTTTTATAATAAATAATTAGGAGTAATTTTAATAAAACTATAATCATTTTGTAAGTGACAATTTTTTTAAAAGTAACAATTGAAAAGCAACGGAAGAGTGAGTATTTTCTTACCAAATTTATGGTTTTTTATTTTTATTTTTTTGTAATAGTAGTTGTTTGGGCTAGTCTCATGGATATGATGAGTGGCATAACGTGAAACATCATAGTTGTGACACATGGAATTTTGGATGTTCCTAGTTTTCTTCAAGGAGTCAAATATTTTAATATGTGGTCATGGGGTTACTTACTCTTGGGGTAGCTTCTTCATTTCTCTCATGAATTAACTTTGGAATTAAATTTTCATTCAAACTATGATAACTAGTTTTAAAATATAAAAAATTGTTATTAAAACTTAGGTTTCATTGTTTAAATGGATTAATTAGATGGAATAAAGCGGAATCAAATAAAATCTAGATTATTTTATTTTATTATTTTTTATTATTTTTTTATATCTTTTAATTTAAACGGAATGACAAAAAATTTCTATTACATCATGAAATATTTAAACAATGAAATAACATATTTATTTTATTCCGCTATATTTCGTTCGCTCTATTCCGCTACACTCTATTTTGTCCATTCATTTTACTATATCCAAACATAGCCTAAAAAGTATGATTGGGATATCTTTGGAATATTGTTGAAAATTTGTGTTAAAAAAAATTAAAGACTTAAAAGTATATAGTTATGATCATAAGGTTAAACTTTCTTATAAACAATTGTCGAAAGCATTTAGTAAAATGTTTGTAGACGCATTAAGTGCTTTTAATAAAATTTCTCTCCGAAGAAAAATTATTTCATAACTTGGAAAAAAGTTAATGATCTTAATAGTGCTTTAGATTTCTTAAAGAAAGAGCATGCATATCTTGTTGATGAGCATTTTAATGCTGTTGATACTTTAACATAAAGGATAGTTAAAGTGGATTATGTTACTTGTCCGATTTTAAAACTTGAAAATGAAAATCTTAAAGGACAATTAACGCAAAATATTACTCTATCTACTACTAGCTCTACTTCTTCAAGTGAAAGAGAGATAAGTTTTGAGAAAAACTCTCGTTTTGCTAGAAGAAATAGAAAGAGTATCCCATGTAAAGAAACATGTTATTATTGTGGTGACAAAGATCATATTACGCCTCCAGGATCCACTACTCGGGTGACTAAATTGCATGTTTGATTGTCTGTAGGAATGTCTTGTCTCTGTGAAAAAGTTGTGGTTTTTAAATAGCGGATTCTCAAGACACGTGATGAGAGATGCTTTGATGTTTATCAAGTTTAATCACAAAGAAAGCGATCACGTCACATATGGAGACAATATAAGAGGTAAAATATTTGGAGAATATGTTGTGAGAAATCCCTCCACAATTACCATAAAAGGTGTTTTATTGATAAAGGACTTAAACACAATTTACTTAACGTTAGTCAATTACGTGATAAAGAATATTCTATTGTTTTCGAAACCTTGAATTGCTTAATTGAACAAATAGCAAGTAAAAGACTTGTATTTAAGGGTTCTAGGATTGATAATATCTATTTGCTTGACTTGGATGATGTGTCAATGCACAGTACTAAATGTTTAGACACTAAGAATGGAGATTCTTGATTATGGAATAGACGTTTAGGACATATATATTTTAACTTAATAAATAAGATAGCATATTATATAAGAATCTAATAGTTGGCCTACCAAAAAAAATTTTTTTTAAGGTAAACTTTGAGATGTTTTCCAAACGAGAAAACAAACGAGAGGGTCTTTTAAATTGAAAAAATTATTTCAACTTCCAAACCTTTTGAACTTCTTCATCTATACTTGTTTGGCCATTCAAGGAGATGTTTAGGAGGTAACTACTACGTGTTTGTAATTGTGGACAACTATTCTAAATTTAATTGGACGCTCTTCTTAGCCCATAAAAAAATCCTTAAAGTTTTCGTTATGTTTTTTAAGCTTGTAAAAAATCTTTATAATTTGAAAATTATCACACGCCATAGTGATTATGGTGGCGAGTTTGTAAACCATTAATTCGAAAACTTTTGTAACAAAAATGAGATTACTCATAACTTCTCATGTCCGAGAAATCCACAACAAAATGGTGTTGTTGAGCGTAAAAATATATGTTTTAGAAGAACTGGCTCGAACAATGATAAGCAAAATAAGTTTGTCTAAATACTTTTGGACAAATGAGATTAATAACACATGCCATGTATTGAGCACAGTGGTCATTTGATAAATCCTAGGTAAGACACCCTCTGAGTTACTCAAAGGTAAGAAACCTAACATTTCCTATTTTTGCATTTTCAACTGTAAATATTTTATTTTAAATAACAGAAAGGACAATCTTTGTAATTTTGATGCTGAGTCTGATGAAGGTATATTTCTAGAGTACTTGTATTCGAGTTAAACATACAAGGTTTGAAATCATAGAACACCGTTTGTTGAAGAGTCAGTTCATGTGACTTTTGATGAATTCTCACCCCAAAAGACGGAGAAAGGTAGTTTTTCTGATGTTTCAAGTGTGATAACGAAAAGCTTAATAAATGATGACATTCCCAAAGATGATCCTCTTCTATCAACCCAAGAGGACATTATTGAAGACAAAAAGAAAGGCTAACAAGGGGAAGATAAACAAGAAACCTCACCTTAGTTACTCCACATTGGATTGTTGAAAAGAATTATCTGTTAGATCAAATACTTGGCGATATCAGGAAAAGTGTAAGTACAAGATCTCATGTTAACATTTTTTGCAAGTATTATGCTTTCCTCTCTCAAATTGAACCTAAAACTATATATATATATATATATATATATTGTTTTAGACTGGCCCAATGACTAAGATTGGCTCAATCCACTTCTACCCTTGGCACAACCCAATAACAGTGGCCCAACATCCTAGTCGACCACACCCCTGGATGCACGACCAACAATGTCCGACACGCATGCCTGACCCAGTCAACAGTTATCTCTCCGTCAGCCTGACACGAGTCGAGCAGATAAGCAGGAAACATCTAGAACGATCATCTTCCCGTAATCCGCCTCCTCCTTGAAACTAACGACTAGTTACGAGCACACCTTCCCGTTTTGACTGACTCATGGGAATTAAATAAACCCTCACACATGTGAGGGCCAAGTATCTAATATTCAAACCTTAAACCCTAATATCTTGCTTGTATCTCTTTGCTCTCATTCTTATTTGATCGT